CAGCAGCCACTTTTGCATGAATTTCCTCCTATCGTAAGGGTGAATCATGCTGTCATATTTCAGCACGGCGTCTAAGTTGTTTCCATTCACTGGTGACAGCTGTACGTTTTTGCAGCTGCTGCTTCCGTTTAGCAGGTGTGACGGGAAGACGTCTGGTAGAAAGCCGTAGTAACCTATGAAGCGAGGTCCGTAGAAGATACGGTTGTGCTCGAGGTAGCTTTGGAGGAGTGTAAGGCCAATTGCGTTCACATTGCTGACCACTGGTCCTGGCCACTGTTGGCGAAGCTGTCTCAGCAAACCCTGCACAGCGCACCGTCTTCGGAACTCGGGCAGCATCACGATGTGATGGTTCAGCATCACCCCGCCGCCTATGTGGTTCCGACTCAGGTAACCGACTACCTGGCCGTAGTCCTCGCTTTCCAATACGTAAAACGTGTCAGGCGATGTCTCGAAGTACAGCTGCCAGTTGTGGACTCCTTGCTCGAACTCGACTCCAAGCGATAGCTCCTCGATCCTCGCCAAATCGAGGGTGGTCGCCAAACGCCACCGTGGCATTGGTTACCGCGCGCGAACGGCTGCACACACGCATACACACTCAGAATTGAAGGCGGTGTTCCCCCTTCGACGACGACGACGTCTGGCTGACACGGTATCCACCAATCATGTTCGTTTGAGTACACGTCATCATTGTACATTGCGTGACGCAGTGGCATTCACATGTCATTCCGAATTCGACGCATATGCAGCGATGCCATGTTGCAGTGTGACGTCTTGGCTTAGTGAGAATGTAATCACAAAAATCAATCGTAAATTGACAGCAGGCCATTTATCGAACAGACATCTTGCAGCATCGTCACAACCGGTTGCTCTAGTGCAACAGAGCAAAAGAGCCGTGTCGCGCTTTCTCAAACCGGTTTGCAGTGCATGTGCACAAAGCACCTGAGCATCGTGTAATACTGTAAACTGAAGAATGCAGCACGCAAGTTGTGATAAAGTATAGTATCAGTAAGTATAAATTCATACACGAATGCTAATAAACATACAACACTTCCAGAACTCGGTTTCATCCCATGTTACATGTTTTCCTCGCTTCCAGGCATATGTTAAGGACTGCTTAGGTAACAACACTACATTTCTTAAAGTACCTCCAGTCTTAGGTGCGTCCTGTATAGCAGACGGTAAGCCGGTTTTTGATCTTTTGCAAAGCATGCACAAGATACTAGTCTTTGAAGCATTATAATGATAAGCAAGCTGTTTGTTTAAGGCATGACTAAGATTGTTCGATCGGCTGAAGATCGGACTTACAGTCAGAACATAGTAAATTGGAGCATTGGTTGCGACTCAACCTTTGTCCTTCCAAGCTAGATAACTGAGCAGTAATTCATGGGAAGGAGGTGGAGGATAAATGCGCACAGTAGCTGCAGATGTTTGTAGGATAAGAGCGAAAAGGCGCACCTGGTTGCTGAACTCAGTAATCGAAGAATGAAACTAGTTATGGTAGTGCAAAATTGATAATCCAACGGCCATAAATTTTCTTGTTCAAAGCTGTCTAGATCTCAGATAATTTTGTATGATTGAATTCTGGCTTTGCAATGGCCCATAGGCATCAGAGAACCAGGAAACGTGCAATACGCCGTTAACGACAGTTTTATAAAAGTCAGCATTCATCAGCATACTCAGGTATTCACAAACAACATATAGGAACAATAAAATATGCAACAGCTTCCAGATTTCGAAGCTGACCTGTTAGATGCCGTGCCTATCCGCGAATGGAATGACGGAAGAATGTAGACATTTTTATGAAGCTTGGAAAGCGTTCGGTGGAGGGTAAGAGCAAGGGGCGAAATATTTTAACATGACGTCAGATATATGAAACGACGAGGTAAACGATGCCTTGCCCTCACAACGTCGCTAGCACGATTGATCGCTAGAGGGGTAAACAAACCGATCAAACCTGACGACCTTTAATCATTGTTGTCACAGTTTTCATTATAAAGTTTTAGCTACTTTATAAGATATGGGTGGCATGAATGAACATGAAAGGTGAATTGCATATGGAAATCTCGATGCCGTCGGATTTCAAATCTATACAAGGAAACATGCTCTTAGAACGGAAAGTAAAACAGCTACAATTTGTTCAACTGATCAGCAAAGGACTCTAGCGAAGGCCAAGAAGGAAAGTGCCTCGCACGAATCCGCTCCAGATTCAGGTTATCCGCTGCTGAAGCTGAAAAGCTGGCATAGAATCTGGAACGTTGAAGAACTGTCTGAAACATCTGCCTTCGAAGGTTAAGCAGTCATCGAAACTGACGGACTAGGGAAGAAATATTTTGGTATTTCAAAAGTTGGTGGAGGTCAAAGGGATGCGAGTGCAGACGGAAAGGAATAAATTAATCTGCCATTGTTGGAATAGCAGTTTGCCCTAAATATCAGATTTGGGCGACATTTATTGCACTCTTCCCTCATCATGCTGTTCATGGTGTAGCGCTGATTTTCGTTTCTTTGCCCTCGACCATGCACACGCCTCGGCCGACGGCAGCTGAATACTACAGCATGTGACCAACTATCTACCACAGATTAACATTCATTTATCAGACTTGGAAGGATGAAAGTCCCGATCGAATTCTGGATATATATCGCCTGAGAAACAACGATCTCAGCCGCAGATCCAGGGAACAGTAGCATCTTTGTAAACGAAGTACAACTTCAATTTCACTGCTCTACTGATCTGTTTTTCGTGCTGTTTCAATGGCTCAGCTACAATTCTTTGTCATCAACTCATATGGCTTTTTTCTTACCCTCGTTACAACAGTAGAACATAAATTACCTTAAGAATTGGCGATTTACTTTCTCATCTTTGTTAATCCAACATTTGGAAATGATCATAAGTTGATCACAGTGCAGTTTCATCCTAGCGAAAGGCAGAATTGCTTGTTACGGATAGCGGCTTGTTTCAGCGTATAATAAAATTTAAATGTCAGATTTATTTATCTGCTATTCTGGATTAGTAATTTTGAATTTATTAATATTTCGATTGCGAATTTTAATCTGCACGTCAAGAAACGCTCTACCTTGCATGGTATGAAAAAACAACTGTGCAAATATTTCGTGTGTCAGTCCAGATGCCGTGCCAGTCGTTCATCGTTCCTTTTGCTCAGAACACTGGTGGCATGATGTATCTTTTTTAAAGGCCTCTTTGGAAGTCACTGCGAACCATGGTTTCGGATGTCTCCACCAGCGTTTATAGTCAACATATCAAGAGCTGTTTTGTTTGCAGAATTGCTTTAAATGACGCGTGGATTTTTCCTTATTTGATACCATGGCCTCAGTAGTTACCGTATTAGCCCTCTGCAGCTCCAGTAAAGATCAGTGAATATTTACAATATCATTCGTTGTCAGGATTTAGCTTGGAATGATTTTATTCATCGTTCATTTTTCACGAGATGACGGATCGAAGAGAAACTTTTTACACATTGTTGCAAAAAATTTTTTATGACAGACAGACATTTAAGACACGGTCATTCAAATATAACTGTTCACTGTTTCATGTAGTAGGAAACGCAGAATGAATTTATTTTGATTAATGCGGTAGTGAGGCATGTTATGCAGACTGTAGACGAGATCGCCAAGTACGGTTTCCCGCCATAAGCGCTAATTAGACCAATGACAGACATTGTAGATATTAATTTTTCGGTGTAGGATTCGCGGAGAGATCATTGAAGGTTTGAAAACAACAAAAATAAAATATTTTAATGTGAGTAAAATAAATATGATCGCTATTTGTCTGTAGATGACATAGTCGAATGAATCTGTAGTGCTTCAGATTTCAAAATCTCCGTTACTTGTCCCAGTTTAGATGAAGTAGTCTCACTTTCTCATCACTTCTAGTAGTTTAGGGGACCATTTTTAGATAAAGGCTCCATACATTATAAAAATAAACGTGCTGAAACACCGCCTGAAATGTCACTATTGTAGGCATAAAAATGCATGAAAATCACTCGCGGTATTGTTGACTGGTTACTAGCATTGTGATAGCTTTTGATACCGCGAGAGTAACAATATTTCCTCATGCTTCCTCCGTACAATATCCCAATGAAGCTGCAGCGCGCTAAGATGGTCTCCTAGGCGGCAAGAAGCAAGTAGGTTACTGTTACTCTTACCGACAATTACTTGAGCAGCATTTTGCTAGTAAACCCAGAAGACCGGGGTTGATTTTCATGTATCATGGGTTGCTCAATCGGTAGAACGTCAAATTCAAAACCCAGAGGTCCTGGGTTTGAGCTCACATCAGGGGTAATCGTTTTGATTTTTCTGAGATCAACATTTTGCCATTAATGCTACACTTTGGGAGGGAAATCGGAGGCCACACACTAAGCTGGACTCATGGCTGCTGTAGATTTTGCCTCTAGGAAATAAGACATTCCTAGATAATGGAACAGAAATGCAGGTTAACGCACAGCCGCACAACAACTTCATAAAAAGAAGGAAGCCAGAAATAACCCAATCATGAAAATCTAGGAAGGGCCTGTATTTCCACTGTTGCAAACTTTCTTACTTCGTTCTTTATGTGTGAATATTTAAACGTTAAGTTCAATATGTTAATTTTCAAATTTACGATTTACATCGTTTGGTGATTTTTAAACAGCAGTTTGGTGAGTCAAGATGAATTGCAACCATAAAGTGGTCGGATTCCTTAGAATTATCGTAAATTTCACCAAGTCTGATATGATAACACCTGAATAATATGCCGTCCCTGTTATTCTCAGGTCAGCGATTGCAGCGTAGCATTGTATGTTGAATTATTTGTTTAGGAAATAAGGATTTTATAAGAAATATTATGTCGCGCATGGAATTTGAATCCTGCGCAAAAAAGATGCAAAACTAACTACTTATCGCCTGCGTCCTGCCCAATCCCCTCCCCAGACAAGTTTACTTAACTGCAACAACATCGAAAATAAAAATA